GTGTTGTAGTAGTAGTAGTAGCATTGTAGTAGTAGTAGTAGCAGTGTTGTAGTAGTAGTAGTAGCAGTGTTGTAGTAGTAGCATTGTAGTAGTAGTAGTAGCAGTGTTGTAGTAGTAGTAGCAGTGCTGTAGTAGTAGTAGTAGCAGTGTTGTAGTATTAGCATTGTAGTAGTAGTAGTAGCAGTGTTGTAGTAGTAGTAGTAGCAGTGTTGTAGTTAGTAGTAGTAGCAGTTGTTGTAGTAGTAGTAGTAGCAGTGTTGTAGTAGTAGTAGTAGCAGTGTAGTAGTAGTAGTAGTAGCAGTGTTGTAGTAGTAGTAGTAGCAGTGTTGTAGTAGTAGTAGTAGCAGTGTTGTAGTAGTAGTAGTAGCAGTGTTGTAGTAGTAGCATTGTAGTAGTAGTAGTAGCAGTGTTGTAGTAGTAGTAGTAGCAGTGTTGTAGTAGTAGTAGTAGCAGTGTTGTAGTAGTAGTAGTAGCAGTGTTGTAGTAGTAGTAGTAGCAGTGTTGTAGTAGTAGTAGTAGCAGTGCTGTAGTAGCAGTGTTGTAGTAGTAGCATTGTAGTAGTAGTAGTAGTAGTAGTAGCAGTGTTGTAGTAGTAGTAGTAGCAGCAGTGCTGTAGTAGTAGTTGTAGTAGCAGTGTTGTAGTAGTAGCATTGTAGTAGTAGTAGCAGTGTTGTAGTCGTAGCATTGTAGTAGTAGTAGCAGTGTTGTAGTAGTAGTAGTAGCAGTGCTGTAGTAGTAGTAGTAGTAGCAGTGATGTAGTAGTAGCATTGTAGTAGTAGTAGTAGCAGTGTTGTAGTAGTAGTAGTAGCAGTGCTGTAGTAGTAGTAGTAGCAGTGTTGTAGTAGTAGCATTGTAGTAGTAGCAGTGTTGTAGTAGTAGCAGTGTTGTATTAGTAGTAGTAGCAGTGTTGTAGTAGTAGTAGTAGTAGCAGTGTTGTAGTAGTAGTAGCAGTGTTGTAGTAGTAGTAGTAGCAGTGTTGTAGTAGTAATAGTAGCATTGTAGTAGTAGCAGTGTTGTAGTAGTAGCAGTGTTGTATTAGTAGTAGTAGCAGTGTTGTAGTAGTAGCAGTAGCAGTGTTGTAGTAGTAATAGTAGCATTGTAGTAGTAGCAGTGTTGTAGTAGTAGCAGTGTTGTATTAGTAGTAGTAGCAGTGTTGTAGTAGTAGTAGTAGCAGTGTTGTAGTAGTAATAGTAGCATTGTAGTCGTATTAGTAGATAAATGTTCAGATGAAAAAGGTGATTGTTATGCATGACAGGTGCTGTGAGCAACAACTCTCCCCCGGTGCTGAGGTCTACCAAGGACTGGTATGTGACTGAAGATGAGGAGGTGGGCTCCGTGGTGACACGTCTGCAAGCCTCCGACCAGGAGAAGGACCACATCACCTTCACGTTGGAACCTCAGAATAAAGGAGACACCATTCAAGAGTACTTGCTGATCGACTCTGAAGACAGAGTCAGGATTGCCAAACCCTTGACTGGACTGGTGAGTGCCTCCTCCCCTTCAACTTCATCTCTCATAAACACTCACACTTATACTCATTCAGTGACGGAGGATTGAGCCTTCATCACTCCATGTAGCATAGGTTAGCACTTCATGATCTAAAGGAACATGCAGTCATAATAAGGAAACCACTTCATTGACTCAAAGAATATATACTTACGGAATGAGACAGTGTCTGGTAAGAGGTATCATAATTGACGAGGGTAACAAGTGGGTCTCCCGTGTATTGATACAGGGATTTTTACAATTTCGGACGTGTGAACGATGTGTTAGAACAAATGGAGATAATGTCAAATAATAAGGAGAATCAAAACGGGTGAGGACAGGGAAAGGTATGAACCGGACATGGACAAACAGCACAACTGGTCAGATGCAAAATTATGAAAATTTGGGAAGAGGAAAGAAGACCGATGGTTATTAAGAACAGACTTAGCGGAACAAAGGCTGTAAACTTTACCCAAGAAGGACCAAACACGTTGCCTGATGCACATATCAACCGACTAACCTTTGTAACTGAACTTTGGGAGAATATAAGCTTCCTGGAATCTCAGTAAAGTAGCTCAGTTGGTAGCGCACTCATCTCACGTATTGAGGTCCGTGGTTCGATCCCTGGTACAAGTGGTAACATTGAGGGATGTGTTTCCTTAAGACACCTGCTCTGTCTGCACCTAGCAGTAAAATAGGTACCTGGGCGTTAATTGACTGGTGTAGGTCGCATAGTTGGGACAAAATTAACCAAATTTGCCCAAAATGTTCTGCATAACGAGGGGCTATGGTCTGTATAAGTTGTATCATGTACTTGTAGAAATATATTATTATTGTAAAATTCAAATTATTATTATTATTATTATTATTATTATTATTATTATATTATTGTACTGTAAGTGTTTATTATTGTAAAAATATTATTATTATTATTATTATTATTATTATTATTATTATCATCATCATTATCATCATCATGATATGCGTAGCACTAACGTGGAACCCACACCTGATGCAGCATGTCAAGAAAATAGAGAAATAAAACTTACTTGCAACAAAACTAGTCCCAAAATTAAGATGACTGAACTGATAAGAAACCAAAGGAAATGAGCCAGATGGCATTATAGGATTGAAGGATCAGGGAGAAATAACAACAACATAAAATCTAAGATGATTAGATAGTGTTGTAAACTGTTCTATAGATAGAAAACTGAATCATGAGGACACAACTCAAAGCTGAAGGCACACATGAGTCACATAGTTATCAGGAAATATTATTTCATCCACACGGTGGTCAAGAAGTGGAATGACGTTAATAAAAAAATGGTGGAGGCAGACTCCATACTTATTTTAAAAAGCAGGTATTTATTTATTTATTTATTATTTGGACATGATACATAGTTGTACAAAGAAATATAGTGACTGGGTGCACATGCCAAAAGCCCCTTGTATGCAGAGCATTACCTGGAGTTTACCTGGAGAGAGTTCCGGGGGTCAACGCCCCCGCGGCCCGGTCTGAGACCAGGCCTCCTGGTGGATCAGAGCCTGATCAACCAGGCTGTTGCTGCTGGCTGCACGCAAACCAACATACGAGCCACAGCCCGGCTGATCCGGAACTGACTTTAGGTGCTTAAAATTAACTTAAGATTAACTAAGCAATGATATATACAGTTCAATTAAGTTTATTAAGTCACAGGTACACACAAGTACAACTATCTTATATAGTGTAAATTACCTAGGATAACCCTACAAAAAAAATGTCAGATAAGGCCAGGATGAATTACAACACCTGGATATGCTGAATGTTGAAGAGAGTAAAACAATTTGAAGTTAAATCAAGTTTATAAAATTGCTCATGAACAGTGTCCAGAATATCTTGCTGCCAATTATGTCAAAGCAATCATAGTACTAGGGGGAGATAATTATTATTATTATAATCATGGGGGAGCTCTAATAAGGCTCATGAAAATGAGGAGTAAACTTGGTAGTAACATCTTAAGAGGCAGGGCCAGGAGCTGTAAGTTGACACAACAACAAATAGATCAATCAAAATAGTTCGCTTCCTATGCTTACACTCAAAATACACATAAAAATATTCTTTTTTTACAAAGTTTTTGCAGCGGTGTATAGCCCTTGTGGCTTAGCGCTTCTTTTTGATTATAATAATAATTACAAAGTTTTACACATCTGCACACAGACTGCAAGATTCCGAGTGGATATCAACCAAATCTTTAAATGGGCCGCAGAAAACAATAAGTTCAGTGAAGAGAAATTTCAAATACTCGTCTATGGAGAACTTGAGGAAATTAAAACCTTATTCCCCTCAAGGAAGGTTCCTTGATGTTGGTGAGGGGCTCTTGATTTAGGGAATTGGATCTGTGCTCCAGTGCAGCAGGATCTGTGCAGCAGCAGGATCAGAAGCAATGCATGATGCTCTGCTGTCCGCCGTTTCCATCCTGACCTGCCTTTCACGCAGCTAACCCTCTAAACCAGTGGTTCCCAAACTTTTTCAGCTTGTTACCCAATTTAACATGCCACATAAAGCATGATACCCCTTTCACAAAATGTTGTTATTATTGATATATATGGCTAAACGTGAACGTATACAGCCTCGCATACTCTGCTAATCCTAGCAAAACCATTGAAAACGTAAGAACCACACATACATTATATATAAAATTAATAATAGCTACAAATTCACAGTAACAGTGGGTAAATACTAACTATATACTGCACAGGGCAGTACACATACATACCAGCTTATGTCTACCTCGGCTGATGCTCACAGATAAACTGACAGTGTGAAATAGAGGCAGCCTCAGGAAGTGAGTGACGCGTACTGGACAGGTCGATCTGGGCTACTGAGTGACTTTTGTCCTGAAGCATACTTGTCAAAATACTTTTGGGTTTCCACACACTTAGCTATATATTTCTTCTTTTCTAATACTGTATATTAGTTTTTGATGTTTATTGTTATTTGGTTTAACTTTATTACTTACTTATAATAGGTTTACTTTACAACTTTATATACTAAGACAAAGTTAACAATAATCCTCATACCTGGTACCGCATTTTCTTGATTTTCAGAATTCATAACTTTTTTTCTGTCACCCCTCCATTACCCCCCAAAAATGGTTAAATTACCCCCAGGGGGTAATTTACCCCTAGTTTGGGAACCACTGCTCTAAACCATCTATTAGGAGGCTCGTATCGCTCACCCGGTACCAAGGCTCCAGCCCCAGGTGCCCGAATTAAGCCTGAATGCCTTTCACATCCCCCCCAGGCGCTGTATAATCCTCCGGGTTTAGCGCTTCCCCTTAATTTTAATAATAATAAAACCTTATCTGTTTATAAAACACATTCTAACCCCTAATGTGAAGGACCTGGGAGTGATAATGTCAGAGGATCTCACCTTCAAAGACCACAACAATGTATCTACCTCATCTGCTAGAAAAATGATAGGATGGATAATGAGAACCTTCAAAACTAGGGATGCCAAGCCCTTGATGATTCTCTTCAGATCCTTGTTCTCTCTAGGCTGGCCCCTCAAGGGAGGGTCCTTGATGCTGTGAGGGGCTCTTGATCTAGGAAATTGGATCTGTGCTTCAGTCCCCTGAATTATGCCTGAATACCTTCCATCCCCCCACATGCGCTGTATAATCCTACGGGTTTAGCACTTCCCTGTGATTATAATAATAATAATAATAATCTCTAGCCTGGAATACTGCTGTACACTAACTGTCCCTTTCAAGGCAGGCGAAATTGCTGACCTGGAGAATGTACAGAGAACTTTCACGGCACACATAAGTACTATTAATTGCCAGGAACGGTTGAAGTCCCTTGATTTGTATTCCCTGGAATGCAGGTGGGAAAGATACTTGATAATACTACATGTGGGAATTTTTAAGGCTACCTGTATGAACCTCGTCATTGCATTCATACAAATAATCTCATTGGGAGGTACAACCATATATTGTTTACAGTAGTTACCCGGTGTAGACATTTGAGAAAACTTAAGCCACTCCTGGTCCCTCCAAGTGGCCCCTTCCACCTCACACATCTTAAACACATCTATCCTAGACCAGTATTATAGATTAAGGTTGGATAACACCAATAGGCATGGCATTACAAGTTAGTTGTGGACTGTATGTATAAATTGGACCAATTAGAAACGGGGGGAAGGGGTTACACATTTCAGCATAGGACCACCACTTACCCAAGTTTATTTGTAATGCCCACAGTACGTGTCCTATTATAACACCTAACTGGCCAGTTATGAATCTGATATAACATGAAGGTTTACTTAACTGTGGGTGAAGAAACAATATTCCTTGTCTTTCTTTATTTCTTCCTCTGACTTAAATGTCCTGCCAAATTGATGCAGTTCTTCCAGCAGGACTATGATATCACTTGGGTTGTCCTGATTTAGGAGACGAGACTCCATAAAACCTCCGTGGTCCTCGGGACAGGGCTGGAGTTCAACGTGTGCTCACTCGGTGAATGGCGAATCATTTCACTTCACACATTCCCTTAAGTTATTGTTATTATCACTGATTTCTCCACAATTCACAAGACGACTTAATGTCCCATTAATTTACATACGTTAAAGGTTGATCTATTAACCCTTAAACTGTCCAAACGTAGATCTACGTCCACGTAGCTCCGAATGTAGAGCTATGTTTTTTTTTTACATGCTTTCAAATGGGGAAAAATCAAGGTCGGAGCTCTACGCACGTGAACGTAGATCTACGTTTGGACAGTTTAATGGTTAAGATCTGAACCTGATGAGTTACCTGGAGTTTACCTGGAGAGAGTTCCGGGGGTCAATGTCCCCGCGGCCCGGTCTGTGACCAGGCCTCCTGGTGGATCAGAGCCTGATCAACCAGGCTGTTACTGCTGGCTGCACGCAATCCAACATACGAGCCACCGCCTGGCTGGTCAGGTACACATAAGTATACTATGAGTGATGATTAAATCGACAGGTATTCCCCCTCCCCCCCGAACGCTCGTCATGGTGCATCACATCATTCCCGGCTCGGCGTCCCTCACTATTTACTATTTCCACCACCTTGTTATAGTGGTTTCGTAAATTACGTTCCCTCACTCTTCACCAGGAACAGTTACAACACTTCCTATTATGAAGTAAGACCACTAATCACGTTTCGGCCGTCGGAACTGCCAAATTCCTGGTTCCATGTTAACTAGGACACCCAAGCCATAGGCCTATACTCCGGTGACTCCCTATACATGCCCAGGCGTCCCCTCTCTGACCCCGCACATGTGCAGAGCTTCTCACTTGGTTCTCTTTCACTTTCAAATATATTTTAGACCAACAGTAGCACATTAATTACATATTTACATTATAAGAATTATACATTATAATTTTGGGAAAATTACACCAGAATTTTTCACAATATACTTGGAAAATCCTAGAAGGATTAGTACCAAACTTGCACACGAAATCAATTCCTATGAAAGCAAGAAACTCGGCAGGAGATGCAACATTCCCCCAGTGAAAAGCAGGGGCACCACGAGTACAGTAAGAGAACACAATAAGTGTCAGGGACCCAAGACTGTTCAACTGCCTCCCAGCATACATATGGGGGATTACCAATAGACCCCTGGCTGTCTTCAAGAAGGCATTGGATAGACACTCACAGTCAGTACCTGATCAGCCAGTTTATTGTGCAGCCAGCAGTAACAGCCTGGTTGATCAGACCCTTATCCACCACGAGGCCTGGTTTCAGACTTGGCCACAGGGGCATTGTCCCCAGAAACCCTGTCCAGGTAAACTTCAGGTTATTTTTTTTTTTTTATTATCACACCGGCCGATTCCCACCAAGGCAGGGTGGCCCGAAAAAGAAAAACTTTCACCATCATTCACTCCATCACTGTCTTGCCAGAAGGGTGCTTTACACTACAGTTTTTAAACTGCAACATTAACACCCCTCCTTCAGAGTGCAGGCACTGTACTTCCCATCTCCAGGACTCAAGTCCGGCCTGCCGGTTTCCCTGAATCCCTTCATAAATGTTACTTTGTTCACACTCCAACAGCACGTCAAGTATTAAAAACCATTTGTCTCCATTCACTCCTATCAAACACGCTCACGCATGCCTGCTGGAAGTCCAAGCCCCTCGCACACAAAACCTCCTTCACCCCCCTCCCTCCAACCCTTCCTAGGCCAACCCCTACCCCGCCTTCCTTCCACTACAGACTGATACACTCTTGAAGTCATTCTGTTTCGCTCCATTCTCTCTACATGTCCGAACCACCTCAACAACCCTTCCTCAGCCCTCTGGACAACAGTTTTGGTAATCCCGCACCTCCTCCTAACTTCCAAACTACGAATTCTCTGCATTATATTCACACCACACATTGCCCTCAGACATGACATCTCCACTGCCTCCAGCCTTCTCCTCGCTGCAACATTCATCACCCACGCTTCACACCCATATAAGAGCGTTGGTAAAACTATACTCTCATACATTCCCCTCTTTGCCTCCAAGGACAAAGTTCTTTGTCTCCACAGACTCCTAAGTGCACCACTCACTCTTTTTCCCTCATCAATTCTATGATTCACCTCATCTTTCATAGACCCATCCGCTGACACGTCCACTCCCAAATATCTGAATACGTTCACCTCCTCCATACTCTCTCCCTCCAATCTGATATTCAATCTTTCATCACCTAATCTTTTTGTATCCTCATAACCTTACTCTTTCCTGTATTCACCTTTAATTTTCTTCTTTTGCACACCCTACCAAATTCATCCACCAATCTCTGCAACTTCTTTTCAGAATCTCCCAAGAGCACAGTGTCATCAGCAAAGAGCAGCTGTGACAACTCCCACTTTGTGTGTGATTCTTTATCTTTTAACTCCACGCCTCTTGCCAAGACCCTCGCATTTACTTCTCTTACAACCCCATCTATAAATATATTAAACAACCACGGTGACATCACACATCCTTGTCTAAGGCCTACTTTTACTGGGAAAAAATTTCCCTCTTTCCTACATACTCTAACTTGAGCCTCACTATCCTCGTAAAAACTCTTCACTGCTTTCAGTAACCTACCTCCTACACCATACACTTGCAACATCTGCCACATTGCCCCCCTATCCACCCTGTCATACGCCCTTTTCCAAATCCATAAATGCCACAAAGAAACCCCTTTAGCCTTATCTAAATACTGTTCACTTATATGTTTCACTGTAAACTCCTGGTCCCAACACACCCCCTACCTTTCCTAAAGCCTCCTTGTTCATCTGCTATCCATTTCTCCGTCTTACTCTTAATTCTTTCAATTATAACTCTACCATACACTTTACCAGGTACACTCAAACAACTTATCCCCCTATAATTTTTTGCACTCTCTTTTATCCCCTTTGCCTTTATACAAAGGAACTATGCATGCTCTCTGCCAATCCCTAGGTACCTTACCCTCTTCCATACATTTATTAAATAATTGCACCAACCACTCCAAAAACTACATCCCCACCTGCTTTTAACATTTCTATCTTTATCCCATCAATCCCGGCTGCCTTAACCCCCCTTTCATTTTACCTACTGCCTCACAACTTCCCCCACACTCACAACTGGCTCTTCCTCACTCCTACAAGATGTTATTCCTCCTTGCCCTATACACGAAATCACAGCTTCCCTATCTTCATCAACATTTAACAATTCCTCAAAATAAATTTCCCTTTCCATCTTCCCAATACCTCTAACTCTCCATTTAATAACTCTCCTCTCCTATATTTAACAGACAAATCCATTTGTTCTCTAGGCTTTCTTAACTTGTTAATCTCACTCCAAAACTTTTTCTTATTTTCAACAAAATTTGTTGATAACATCTCACCCACTCTCTCATTTGCTCTCTTTTTACATTGCTTCACCACTCTCTTAACTTCTCTCTTTTTCTCCATATACTCTTCCCTCCTTGCATCACTTCTACTTTGTAAAAACTTCTCATATGCTAACTTTTTCTCCCTTACTACTCTCTTTACATCATCATTCCACCAATCGCTCCTCTTCCCTCCTGCACCCACTTTCCTGTAACCACAAACTTCTGCTGAACACTCTAACACTACATTTTTAAACCTACCCCATACCTCTTCGACCCCATTGCCTATGCTCTCATTAGCCCATCTATCCTCCAATAGCTGTTTATATCTTACCCTAACTGCCTCCTCTTTTAGTTTATAAACCTTTACCTCTCTCTTCCCTGATGCTTCTATTCTCCTTGTATCCCATCTACCTTTTACTCTCAGTGTAGCTACAACTAGAAAGTGATCTGATATATCTGTGGCCCCTCTATAAACATGTACATCCTGAAGTCTACTCAACAGTCTTTTATCTACCAATACATAATCCAACAAACTACTGTCATTTCGCCCTACATCATATCGTGTATACTTATTTATCCTCTTTTTCTTAAAATATGTATTACCTATAACTAAACCCCTTTCTATACAAAGTTCAATCAAAGGGCTCCCATTATCATTTACACCTGGCACCCCAAACTTACCTACCACACCCTCTCTAAAAGTTTCTCCTACTTTAGCATTCAAGTCCCCTACCACAATTACTCTCTCACTTGGTTCAAAGGCTCCTATACATTCACTTAACATCTCCCAAAATCTCTCTCTCTCCTCTGCATTCCTCTCTTCTCCAGGTGCATACACGCTTATTATGACCCACTTCTCGCATCCAACCTTTACTTTAATCCACATAATTCTTGAATTTACACATTCATATTCTCTTTTCTCCTTCCATAACTGATCATTTAACATTACTGCTACCCCTTCCTTTGCTCTAACTCTCTCAGATACTCCAGATTTAATCCCATTTATTTCCCCCCACTGAAACTCTCCTCTTCAGGTTATTACATGTAATTTTGAATGCTTCTTTCATAATGAATTATTGATTCACATTTTATCTAAATTACAAGGAAACTGCAGTAATTGACCATATGTGAGAACTTTTACATCAAGGTGGCCTGTGGCCTGGTAGACAGTGCTCTCGCTTCACACACTGAGTGTCCGTGGTTCGATCTCTGGCAAGGGTGAAAACATTGGACTTGTTTCCTTATACCTGCTGTCCCATTTACCTAGCCAGCAAGTAGGTACTTGGGTGGTAGTTGCCTGGTATGGGTCACATTCTGGGGGACAAGACTGAGGACCCCAATGGAAATAAGACAGTCCCTCGAAGATGCACTGCCTTTCTTGAGTTATCCTGGATGGCTAACCCTCCAGGGTTAAAAATATTATCTTACATAGTATATGGTTTTGTTATTTTATTACTCTAATAGATATTAGTGTTATAATATTTGTCTATCTAATAAAGTTATCCTTTATAATAAAATTATATACATGGTGTATGTAGCACACTAAGATGTGTATGTACTCAGTATATATACAGAGTTTACTTGCAAACCTTTTAAGGGGTTAAAGTATTCCTCTTGTTAGTGTACAGGTAGTATGCAGCCTTAATGATTCACATGCAGTTGACAACTTCCAGTGTAACAAGCTAGCTAAAGGTATGCTGTGTTGTAGGCAGGAGCTGGCACTCTTTCCTATATGTTGAGAGTAAGACTTGATGATGGTACCACCGACATCGTCACTGAGGTCAGACTCGAAGTATCCAAGGCTGGCCAGGGAGGTGCAAAACTGCAACCAGGCCTCAGAGGTTTTGGAATAAATGGGAACTTCGGAAGACCTCTTAATTTTGGTGCATTTGGAGACTACAGTGGGCCATATCCTTCAATTCCCACTCCTGCTGATTCAACTCGTAAGTATGGCAACTGAAAATTTAGAAAGTGCCTCATTACTTGACTATTTGCGAAGTTCATGCAAATTATTATACAAGTTAAGTAAATTAGGTTGTTAGGTTAGTTTTTAGGAAGAATTAAAGAATACCTTTCTAATAGTTTGTGTAACATTAACTGAAGAGAGCACTTCATGTGATCCATATTAACAGTAAAGAAACAAATTGTATGACTGATTAAAAAATCTGGAAGTCCACTATGGGCTACAAGGTAATCTATCATTAGGTGAGAACCTCAGCAAAGCAGGAAGCTCCTCTCTGGCAAGGATGCTTGCAAAATAGTAGAATTTAAATATTTTTGTTCACTGTTAATTTTTACCAAATTGATATTGGAATTATCATCAGATAAATTTTCATCATCTTACATGAGTGCTTCCATAGCTAGCTACTGTAATCAAATGTATTTAATTTATTTATATTTTAATTACTGTACTGATCTCCACAGGTTTCATTTTCACTTGGTTAAATGTACATGTATAGCCGAGTCTCCTTACACCTGTTGATTCTGTTCACATAGCAGTAAATAGGTACCTAGGCATTATCTGCTGTCGTGAGTCACATTCTTGGGGATAACATGCATTAGATAGAGCTTGGCTATGAAACAAGCTCAGGTAACATAACAGTACCTAGTTTGTAAGTGAAACGTGTAAAATTCATTATCTTTTTTTTCAGGTTTACCCGTCCTGACAGTCAACACAACATGGGTGGTTGATGGTGATGCCGCTGTGGGCTCAGTAGTAGATACATTGCGAGTAATTGACCTGACAGGGGAAGGTTACATCATTGGCCTGGAAGGAGGACAAGGCCTGGTCCAAGTGAACTCTGGCTTGGGCCTTGTTACTGTTGCTGCCTCTCTTGCCCATCAGGTACCTGAAATCTTTATTTTGCACAAGTACTACTGTAATCTGAACTACTGTAGTGTACTCTTTAGGTATTAAATTTGAGAAAATTGTGTGTAAATGTGTTTTGATTTTATTTGGTTGTCACAGGTATATAGATTTCTGGTGAGTGTGGGTGGGTGAGAGTAGGGAGGAGATGGGGAAGATTGGGCAGAAAGAAGGATCAGGTCACAGGGAGGAAGATATAAGGTTTAAAAACTTGATATACTTGTCCTGACTGCAATGGTTGATGAACATAAGCTTCATTATTATATTAACAATTAAGAAGGGTGTGCTAAACCCATAGGGGTCACAAAGATTGGGTAATGAGAGGCAATCAGGTTCGATCTAAGGCAGTTGAGGTCAGGTTCAATTCCTTGGATCGAGAATCCCTCCATGGGGTCAAAGATTCTGTATCCCCCCCCCCATCCCCAAGGAAGGTCCCTTGAAGGAGTATTGTCTGCCTGAAATGTTCAGGTATGCTGGTGGCTTTCTTTGTGCTTAACAATATGTTTTTTATAACATGTAAATCACACATTGTATACTATGCAGAGGAGTGAAAAACAAAATGAAAATTTTGAATTTATAATCACCAGAATCAGCAATATATAAAATCTGTGAAAAACAGCATATGTAGTACAGTATATGGTACAATCATGTGTAATTTTAACAGTGTTACTTAGTGCCTTGTTCTTTTTTGGGGGGAGGGTAGAGATGATAATATCTTATAGTATAGTTTTACTGTATGCCACAGCTAAGTTTTACATCTAAATTTGTGTTTTATTCCTTTACATACAGATTGGAGATCATTTTCTGAATGTTACAGCAACAAGTCCCCATGGTACAGTGTTAGAGCCAGTGGTTCTAAAGGTGTTACCTCCATCATCTCCTCCACCAACCCAAGTGCCTTTGCCCGTCCCTGAAAGCCCTAGGGCTGGCATAAATAAGCAACAGGACCTAAGGGTGGTTGGAGGCAGTGGCAATGTGCCAGGCAGCATTGGGTCAGCAAAGCCATCCACTGAGCTGCCCATTGAGGTTCCTAAGCCAGATGTAAGCCTAACTGTGATCCCCATTGTGGTGGTGGCTGGCATATCACCACTCCTTGTGATCTTGTACTGCTGCTGGCGAAGACACTGCAAGAAATCTCAAGCCAAATCAAAGGTCAGTGTCATTCATGACTCTTTGTCTCATATTCAAGCTAATAGATTTTTTGGCTTTAATCTGTAGTTATGTGTATAAGTTAATGCTATGTGAAATATTATGAGACATTTGTTTGAGCAGTATAATAAATGGTAGTATACCACTTGGCCTTCAGGAGAGTGCTGTCATATACAGTGACAAGGGTGAGGAGGCTGCAGCCACAGAGATCACCCCAGGAGAGCCAAGAGAACAGCCAGATAGGAGTGGACGTAGGGGCAGCAGCATACTAGGACTGGCAGCTCTGTGGCAAAGACGAGCACAGAGCAACAAGTATGAGGAAGGCAGCGTCAGAGGAGGCAGAGGGGTCAGTTCTCCCAACTATTGAAGTGAATCTTTGTACAATATTAGTCTTCTTAATAACTTTGTTTTCATTGTTTATGAGAAAATGTATTATTTCACTTACTGTCCTTAAAACTGTAGAAATGATCAAAAGAACTCAAAGTATTTAAAGAGCCATGATTATTTCTTGACAGAATAGAAAAGTGAGTGAAATGTCAACATCAGCAACAGATGTATGGGAGTTCCCTCGTCACCACCTCAAGATACTAGGCATCCTGGGAGAAGGATGCTTTGGCCAGGTAAAACTTACTTATTTACTGTATGATTAAGAATACAAAAGAATTGTGTTAAAATGCTTGGCAATTGTTACAGACATTATATGTATATATCATGACATACAGCTCTATGTTATATAACTCGGTATAGTTCAGTAGCACATCTGTCTTGTGATTAACTGTAATAGGAACCTGCTTTTCCTTTCAAAAGTTTAACCATTTAGAAAATATGTTATTTCTAGTTTATTTAATTTGGGTACTGTAAGTGTATATAGCAGACTGGAAGATTTCATGTTATATTTTGCATACTATGTGAGGCCCTTATTAAATCCAAAGAGTTTTTACAAACATTGATTATGAGTTTATGAAATGGTTACATTAATTAAGCACAGTTATTATACGGATACAGTAGCGATGTCTTCAAAGGTCCACTGTCTCATAGTTAATTCTTTCACTATTGTTTTCACTTGTGCAGGTCTGGAGGTGTGAAGCAACAGGGCTGAAGGGTAATGGGTCTATGCTGGTGGCAGTGAAGACACTGAAGGAATCTGCAGGAGACAGGGAACGACAAGACCTTATACAGGAACTCAAAGTCCTCAAGAACCTGGGATACCATCCTAATGTTGTATCTCTCTTAGGATGCTGTTCAGAAAAGGGTGAGTGCTCACTTAAGAAAACAGACAAATAAAGAGAGAGCATACACTTTATATTAAAAAAAATTCAGAGACAAGAATGTTCAAAACCATAAATAAGACAGAATTAGTTTGACAATTTCATTATGAACTCCATTCACATTGTGTGGATAGTAGTTAAATACGTAATTAGAGAGTCACATAATGACACCAGGGACTGTGTACCAGTAATATGTTAGTTTAGCAAGTTACAGTAGATATGAACTGTTAACACAATCAACTTACTAATGGTTTGCTTTTTCTTTCTTTACAGACCCAATTTTTGTGATCCTTGAGTACATGGTGGGTGGAAAACTGCAGAGTTACCTGCGAGCTTCAAGAGCAGATACAGCTTACAACAACTTGCATGGCTCCTCCTCCTCCCTAACACCAAGGGACCTCACTCTCTTCACTTACCAGATTGCTCGGGGCATGGAGTTCCTTGCTCGCAATGGGGTATTTCCACCCATTCTGTATTTACCTCAGGCCCGGTGGCCTGGTGGCTAAAGCTCCCGCTTCACACACAGAGGGCCCGGGTTCGATTGCCGGCGGGTGGAAACATTTCGACACGTTTCCTTACACTTATTGTCCTGTTCACATAGCAGCAAATAGGTACCTGAGTGTTAGTCGACTGGTGTGGGTCGCATCCTGGGGGACAAGATTTGAGGACCCCAATGGAAATAAGTTAGACAGTCCTCGATGACGCACTGACTTTCTTGGGTTATCCTGGGTAGCTAACCCTCCGAGGTTAAAAATCCGAACGAAATCTTATCTCTTATCTTACCACAGTCGTTACCTCTGAATCATGGCACTAATGAGAGGTCTAGCTTGAGTAGTCTCTCTGATTTGTTTGATGAATTTAAGTGGGTGTATTTTATCACTTATTTGTGTTTTTTATTTCAGCAATGCTAACATTTGAAGTATGATGTCTGGGCACTTCTGGCAAAATAGCTATTGAGTGAAATGTGGTGAATGTGTTTCCTTTTTTTTGGGTGGGGGGCACCTTACTTTGGTGAGATGGTTGACTTGTTTAAAGATCATTTCAATCCTGGTAGGATAGTCACAAAAGGCATATCTGTCCAGTCTCTGGCTATAAATCTATCCTCAGACATTTTCATGGGCTTATCCCAGATAGAAAGTCCTATTCTACATACAGATTTTCTCTCCTACATAACTATTTCCACTAGATCAACAACACCTTTTATTTAAAAATTACCATAATAAGTTATTCTTTGAAATTTGACACAGTATTTTCTATGATTCTATACATACGTAAAGTTCTTTACTCTTATTGCACTGACTCCACTTTTTTTAATTCACAGTATTTTCCCTTAAAGCTGTGACATGAATCAACCTGATCTGTATTTGTCATTATGGTATAGTACTGTTCAGTACAGTACTGTATTTCAGTTATTATTATTATTATTATTATAAAGTAGTATCTGCTGTATTATTTATGGCAAAACAATGACCGCAAGATTTTCAGCTCGTGTATTTTTCCTTTAATAATGACCTCTTATTAAGTCGCTCCATTTACAGCAACTACAACTTGATCTGTACTACAAATGCTTGTACTATAATGAACACTATTTCTCCTATGCTGGTGTGAGCATTATCTCTGATGCATGAAGACAACATACACTATAGTTTTATTCATATATTTGACTGTATTTACCAGTAGTACTTAATTTATCATTTTAAAGATTCAAAGGACCTTAAATGGTCACTTGACTCACATGCAATCGATAGTCTTTAACCTTACAAGTTAACTGTGGCTTTTTTCAGATAATTCACCGAGACCTGGCAGCCAGGAATGTACTTGTAGGAGAGGAGAAGATCTGTAAAGTGGCAGACTTTGGCTTTGCAAGAGATGTGGCCAACAATCGTGTCTATGAGAGAAAGAGTGATGGGAGACTACCTATTAGGTGAGGTTATTTTCTTATTCAAAAGAGAGAAGATTTAGAGATACTGTTCCCTTATGGTGGTTGGAGTAGGGAAATACACAATACACAAATAACTCGCCTATAGGAGAGTAGAGGTTATGATGATGTTTCGGTCTGACTTGGACCATTTACAAAGTCACAGTGTGACTTTGTAAATAGACCATGTTGGACTGAAATGTCATTATAAACTCCTCTCTCCTATGTGAAGGTTATTTGTGTATTGTTCCAGTCACAGTATTGTACCTTTTTATTCTTATGGAGAGGGGGAAGGTATTTATTACCAGAAAAGTTAGAATAAAGAAATATTGTCCTTCAGAAACCTCTGTATGAAAAATATTAATTTCATTAAGGAAAGTGTCAGAGAAAGGTGGATTTTTCTTATATTCACCAAGTACTGTATGACTTTACAAGGATCATACTGTGCCTAGGAGATGGAAGGTAATCAGGTTTGGTTCTAGGAAGGCAAGAACAGCCTGAGTTCTTGGATCAAAAGCCCTTCACTCCCATCAAGGCAAAAAACCCTTCTTGAATGGAAGGAAAAGTGGAGAGATTTTACTCATTAAGGAAGTTTGAAGATGACCTGAAAAGATATTACTTGTCATGTGAGTGAAAAAATCTAATCGCACATGTGCAGATAATATGTTTAGTATTATTTAATAAATTTAAAATTACAAAGTGTGATTTGCAAGTATAATTATATTTCAGTGGGAAAGACTTCATTATCGTCTCTTCTTGAGTTTTTTCTTAACTTGTGTTTTGCAGATGGATGGCACCTGAATCACTCTTTGACAACATCTTCACCACTAAGTCAGATGTGTGGAGCTTTGGAGTCCTACTCTGGGAGATTGTTACTCTTGGTAAGCTCCTCACATCACACTAATTAGTACTACATATATTTAACTTTGAAATATTATTACTGCCATCAAATTTAATGGCTTGCTTTTCTTTTAAACTTCAAATTATTAAAAATTCTGGAACTTGTTTTTGGCATCTGCATACTTAAAATTTAAATTATATACAGTATTTTATCATGCAGCAGATGTGAAGGGATTAAAACTTTCTTGTATTTAATCATAATTTCTAGAATCTGTATATGCATGTTTTATTAAACACTAACAACCTTCATGTTGCTGCTGGCAGGTTCAACACCCTACCCAGGGCTAGGGGCAGTAGAGGTCATGAGAAAGGTCAAGGAAGGTTATCGCCTAGAAAAGCCTGACCACTGCCGTAGAGAGGTCAGTACCAGACATGCTGACATTTTGCCGAAATGTATAAGTTGTCTATTTTCTATAAGTAATTAGCATACTGAATGATGGTTTTATTAAAAATCATCATTATTTTGGCTTCTTCCTTTTTATAATTATAAAATGTGTGTATTACAACTTATAATTGCCATAATTAGGAATACAGAGTATGTGCCATATATTGATAAAGTATAACTTAAGTAGCCATATGACTTGTAAACATTGGTTGCTGTTGGTTTTTAGAATAATACTGACAAAAATTCATAACGAGACAGAACCATCTGATGTGGTGAGACGACACTTGTGGAACTCGTGAGATAGGGTGGGGGCTCAGTTCTCCTAAAGGAGGATCGAGCCTCCTATGTTTGACAAAATCATGACACAATACTTTCTTTAAATGGTCTTTATATATTACCATAAGCTGTCTTCCCACAGGTGTACAATATTATGTATTATTGTTGGGACAAGGACCCCAAGGAGAGGCCCTCCTTCACCGAGCTGGTTCATACCCTTGAAGGTCTTCTTATGTCTGAGGTGGAATACATTGAGCTGGACCGATTCCCCGAACATACCTATTACAATGTCGTCTCTGAGAAGAGTGATGAATTGTTGTAAAGGATCAATTATTTATTTTAAAACAATTTTATATCTAGTTACAATATTTGAATGGAGTACACTGGGTCATGATGTTTGAATATTCCATAAGAGATACATCATTTCAGGCAGAATAATGTTATTATTACATTATTAATAGTAACTACTGGTTAAAAATCTGTGTGCTGTTACTGAGCAAGTTGAACAGATAATTCATATTCATCATACATATTTTATCTAAAAGTTTGAAATGAGCAGATGAGTTGTATGAGCACAGTACCATAGTCAAAATCCAAATTACTTTCATTTTTAAATATGCATACGGATTATGTGCTCTCTACTCCCTTTCCTTGGATTGAAGCTGATTGCCTCCTATTCACCAGGTGCTGTATAACCTCTATGGGTTTAGAGCTCCCATAAAGGTACTGATAATGTTCCTTATTAAATTAATGCTTCCTTCAAAAAATAACCTTAATTGACATACTAATATGGTATTAAGTGCTATTTACTCTTATTTTCAATGACACTCATTACATGAGAGAGAGACTTGCACACACTATGTATCAGGTAAAACACTGAGTAACAAGTATTATTAATTTTTGCAATTGCAAATGACAAAACTTGAAAAAAAAATATTTTCAGTCGCTTCCATCAAGCATGATCTTATCTCACAAAAACTTGCAAAAACTTGTTCATAATTACAGATTGTAAATGCTATTAATTGCAGTAAACAGAAAAATAATGTTCCTTTAAAATGTTATTTGAAATTAAACATTATTGCAACAATGGACAGTATATCTTGGGCATCTGAAAATCTTGTGTGGCATCAGGAAGGTTTCTGTACTTATACTTTCTGGGTGATAAACTTAAGGTACATGAATGTTTGATTTAACAATAATTAGTTTAGTGTGTGCATTCATACATATACAGTGGACCCCCGCATAACGATTACCTCCGAATGCGACCAATTATGTAAGTGTATTTATGTAAGTGCGTTTGTACGTGTATGTTTGGGGGTCTGAAATGGACTAATCTACTTCACAATATTCCTTATGGGAACAAATTTGGTCAGTACTGGCACCTGAACATACTTCTGGAGTGAAAAAATATTGTTAACCGGGGGTCCACTGTACATATATACATATGCATACTTTTTTTTTTCAACAAACCGGCCATATCCCACCAAGGCAGGGTAGCCCAAAAAGAAAAATGAAAGTTTCTCTTTTTAAATTTAGTAATTTATACAGGAGAAGGGGTTACTAGGCCCTTGCTCCCAGCATTTTAGTCGCCTCTTACAACACGAATGCCTTACAGAGGAAGAATTCTGTTCCACTTCCCCACGGAGATAAGAGGAAATAAACAAGAACTAGAAAGAAAACTCAAGAGGGGTGTGTATATATATGCTTGTACATATATGTGTAGTGTGACCTAAGTGTAAGTAGAAGTAGCAAGACGTACCTGAAATCTTGCATGTTTAAGAGACAGAAAAAAGACACCAGCAATCTTACCATCGTGTAAAACAATTACAGGATTCCGTTTTATACTCACTTGGCAGGACAGTAGTACCTCCCTGGGCGGTTGCTGTCTACCAACCTACTACCTACAATATGCATATATATATATATATATATACATATATATATATATATTATATATATATATATATATATATATAAAATATATATATATATATATATATAATATATATATATATATAAAATATATATCCTGCCAGATGACTGTGAAACAAAAACCTGTAACTGTTTTGCATGATGGTAGGATTGCTGGTTTCTTTTTCTGTCTCATAAACACGCTAAGATAACAGGGATATCTTGCTACTCCTACTTACACTTTGGTCACACTTCACAGACACGCACATGCATATATATATATACATACATCTAGGTTTTTCTCCTTTTTCTAAATAGCTCTTGTTCTTTTTATTTCTTCTATTGTCCATGGGGAAGTGGAAAAGAATCTTTCCTCCGTAAGCCATGCGTGTCGTATGAGGCGACTAAAATGCCGGGAGCAATGGGCTAGTAACCCCTTCTCCTGTATACAATTACTAAAAAAGAGAAGAAGAAAAACTTTATAAAACTGGGTTGCTTAAATGTGCGTGGATGTAGTGCGGATGACAAGAAACAGATTGATTGCTGATGTTATGAATGAAAAGAAGTTGGATGTCCTGGCCCTAAGCGAAACAAAGCTGAAGGGGGTAGGAGAGTTTCAGTGGGGGGAAATAAATGGGATTAAATCTGGAGTATCTGAGAGAGTTAGAGCAAAGGAAGGGGTAGCAGTAATGGTTTAAAAAGATCAGTTATGGAAGGAGAAAAGAGAATATGAATGTGTAAATTCAAGAATTATGTGGATTAAAGTAAAGGTTGGATGCGAGAAGTGGGTCATAATAAGCGTGTATGCACCTGGAGAAGAGAGGAATGCAGAGGAGAGAGAGAGATTTTGGGAGATGTTAAGTGAATGTATAGGAGCCTTTGAACCAAGTGAGAGAGTAATTGTGGTAGGGGACTTGAATGCTAAAGTAGGAGAAACTTTTAGAGAGGGTGTGGTAGGTAAGTTTGGGGTGCCAGGTGTAAATGATAATGGGAGCCCTTTGATTGAACTTTGTATAGAAAGGGGTTTAGTTATAGGTAATACATATTTTAAGAAAAAGAGGATAAATAAGTATACACGATATGATGTAGGGCGAAATGACAGTAGTTTGTTGGATTATGTATTGGTAGATAAAAGACTGTTGAGTAGACTTCAGGATGTACATGTTTATAGAGGGGCCACAGATATATCAGATCACTTTCTAGTTGTAGCTACACTGAGAGTAAAAGGTAGATGGGATACAAGGAGAATAGAAGCATCAGGGAAGAGAGAGAGTGAAGGTTTATAAACTAAAAGAGGAGGCAGTTAGGGTAAGATATAAAACAGCTATTGGAGGATAGATGGGCTAATGAGAGCATAGGCAATGGGGTCGAAGAGGTATGGGGTAGGTTTAAAAATGTAGTGTTAGAGTGTTCAGCAGAAGTTTGTGGTTACAGGAAAGTGGGTGCAGGAGGGAAGAGGAGCGATTGGTGGAATGATGATGTAAAGAGAGTAGTAAGGGAGAAAAAGTTAGCATATGAGAAGTTTTTACAAAGTAGAAGTGATGCAAGGAGGGAAGAGTATATGGAGAAAAAGAGAGAAGTTAAGAGAGTGGTGAAGCAATGTAAAAAGAGAGCAAATGAGAGAGTGGGTGAGATGTTATCAACAAATTTTGTTGAAAATAAGAAAAAGTTTTGGAGTGAGATTAACAAGTTAAGAAAGCCTAGAGAACAAATGGATTTGTCAGTTAAAAATAGGAGAGGAGAGTTATTTAAATGGAGAGTTAGAGGTATTGGGAAGATGGAAGGAATATTTGAGGAATTGTTAAATGTTGATGAAGATAGGGAAGCTGTGATTTCGTGTATAGGGCAAGAGGAATAACATCTTGTAGGAGTGAGGAAGAGCCAGTTGTGAGTGTGGGGGAAGTTCGTGAGGCAGTAGGTAAAATGAAAGGGGGTAAGGCAGCCGGGATTGATGGGATAAAGATAGAAATGTTAAAAGCAGGTGGGGATATAGTTTTGGAGTGGTTGGTGCAATTATTTAATAAATGTATGGAAGAGGGTAAGGTACCTAGGGATTGGCAGAGAGCATGCATAGTTCCTTTGTATAAAGGCAAAGGGGATAAAAGAGAGTGCAAAAATTATAGGGGGATAAGTCTGTTGAGTGTACCTGGTAAAGTGTATGGTAGAGTTATAATTGAAAGAATTAAGAGTAAGACGGAGAATAGGATAGCAGATGAACAAGGAGGCTTTAGGAAAGGTAGGGGGTGTGTGGACCAGGTGTTTACAGTGAAAATATAAGTGAACAGTATTTAGATAAGGCTAAAGAGGTCTTTGTGGCATTTATGGATTTGGAAAAGGCGTATGACAGGGTGGATAGGGGGGCAATGTGGCAGATGTTGCAAGTGTATGGTGTAGGAGGTAGGTTACTGAAAGCAGTGAAGAGTTTTTACGAGGATAGTGAGGCTCAAGTTAGAGTATGTAGGAAAGAGGGAAATTTTTTCCAGTAAAAGTAGGCCTTAGACAAGGATGTGTGATGTCACCGTGGTTGTTTAATATATTTATAGATGGGGTTGTAAGAGAAGTAAATGCGAGGTCTTGGCAAGAGGCGTGGAGTTAAAAGATAAAGAATCACACACAAAGTGGGAGTTGTCACAGCTGCTCTTTGCTGATGACACTGTGCTCTTGGGAGATTCTGAAGAGAAGTTGCAGAGATTGGTGGATGAATTTGGTAGGGTGTGCAAAAGAAGAAAATTAAAGGTAAATACAGGAAAGAGTAAGGTTATGAGGATAACAAAAAGATTAGGTGATGAAAGATTGAATATCAGATTGGAGGGAGAGAGTATGGAGGAGGTGAATGTATTCAGATATTTGGGAGTGGACGTGTCAGCGGATGGGTCTATGAAAGATGAGGTGAATCATAGAATTGATGAGGGAAAAAGAGTGAGTGGTGCACTTAGGAGTCTGTGGAGACAAAGAACTTTGTCCTTGGAGGCAAAGAGGGGAATGTATGAGAGTATAGTTTTACCAACGCTCTTATATGGGTGTGAAGCGTGGGTGATGAATGTTGCAGCGAGGAGAAGGCTGGAGGCAGTGGAGATGTCATGTCTGAGGGCAATGTGTGGTGTGAATATAATGCAGAGAATTCGTAGTTTGGAAGTTAGGAGGAGGTGCGGGATTACCAAAACTGTTGTCCAGAGGGCTGAGGAAGGGTTGTTGAGGTGGTTCGGACATGTAGAGAGAATGGAGCGAAACAGAATGACTTCAAGAGTGTATCAGTCTGTAGTGGAAGGAAGGCGGGGTAGGGGTCAGCCTAGGAAGGGTTGGAGGGAGGGGGTAAAAGGAGGTTTTGTGTGCGAGGGGCTTGGACTTCCAGCAGGCATGCGTGAGCGTGTTTGATAGGAGTGAATGGAGACAAATGGTTTTTAATACTTGACGTGCTGTTGGAGTGTGAGCAAAGTAACATTTATGAAGGGATTCAGGGAAACCGGCAGGCCGGACTTGAGTCCTGGAGATGGGAAGTACAGTGCCTGCACTCTGAAGGAGGGGTGTTAATGTTGCAGTTTAAAAACTGTAGTGTAAAGCACCCTTCTGGCAAGACAGTGATGGAGTGAATGATGGTGAAAGTTTTTCTTTTTCGGGCCACCCTGCCTTGGTGGGAATCGGCCGGGTGTGATAATAAAAAAAAAAAAAAAAATATATATATATATTTTTTTTTTTTTTTCAACAAGTCGGCCGTCTCCCACCGAGGCAGGGTGACCTAAAAAAGAAAGAAAATACCCAAAAAGAAAATACTTTCATCATCATTCAACACTTTCACCACACTCGCACATTATCACTGTTTTTGCAGAGGTGCTCAGAATACAACAGTTTAGAAGCATACACATATAAAGATACACAACATATCCCTCCAAACTGCCAATATCCCAAACCCCTCCTTTAAAGTGCAGGCATTGTACTTCCCATTTCCAGGACTCAAGTCCGACTATATGAAAATAACCGGTTTCCCTGAATCCCTTCACTAAATATTACCCTGCTCACACTCCAACAGATCATCAGGTCCCAAGTACCATTCGTCTCCATTCACTCCTATCTAACACGCTCACACACGCTTGCTGGAAGTCCAAGCCCTTGCCCACAAAACCTCCTTTACCCCCTCTCTCCAACCCTTTCGAGGACGACCCCTACCCCGCCTTCCTTCCCCTATAGATTTATATGCTTTCCATGTCATTCTACTTTGATCCATTCTCTCTAAATGACCAAACCACCTCAACAACCCCTCTTCTGCCCTCTGACTAATACTTTTATTAACTCCACACCTTTCCTAATTTCCACACTCCGAATTTTCTGCATAATATTTACACCACACATTGCCCTTAAACAGGACATCTCCACTGCCTCCAACCGTCTCCTCCCTGCTGCATTTTACCACCCAAGCTTCACACCCATATAAGAGTGTTGGTACTACTATACTTTCATACATTCCCTTCTTTGCCTCCATAGATAACGTTTTTGACTCCACATATACCTCAACGCACCACTCACCTTTTTTCCCTCATCAATTCTATGATTAACCTCATCCTTCATAAATCCATCCGCCGACACATCAACTCCCAAGTATCTGAAAACATTCACTTCTTCCATACTCCTCCTCCCCAATTTGATATCCAATTTTTCTTTATCTAAATCATTTGACACCCTCATCACCTTACTCTTTTCTATGTTCACTTTCAACTTTCTACCTTTACACACATTCCCAAACTCATCCACTAACCTTTGCAATTTTTCTTTAGAATCTCCCATAAGCACAGTATCATCAGCAAAAAGTAACTGTGTCAATTCCCATTTTGAATTTGACTCCCCAAAATTTAATCCCACCCCTCTCCCGAACACCCTAGCATTTACTTCCTTTACAACCCCATCTATAAATATATTAAACAACCATGGTGACATTACACATCCCTGTCTAAGACCTACTTTTACCGGGAAGTAGTCTCCCTCTCTTCTACACACCCTAACC